TCCACTCTATCCATGCCAATCTTTATAAACGCCCCTCAATCTCCTGCGTTCCAGTGAAAACAAACGCAGTCTATCCAACCTCTCTTCTAAAATCCCCCATAGCAGGCAAATCCTGGTAAACCTTGCCTGTACCATCTCCAAAGCATCCACCTCCTTCTGGTAACCAGGTGGTGACCAGGATGGCACAGTTGCTCAGTGATACTAGTGATGCCTCACAGCACCAGGGACCCAGGTTCAATCCCAGCCTTTGGTACCTGTGTGGAGTTTGCAGATTCTCCCCATGTCTGCGTGGGTCCCCTCTGGGTGCTCTGGTTTCCTCCCACAGTCCAAACATATGCAGGTTGTGCGGACTGGCCATGGAAAATTGCCCATAGTATCCAGGGATGCATAGTTTAGGTGGATTAGCCGTGGGAAATGCAGGGATGGGGTGGATCTGGGTAGGATGCTCTTTGTAGACTCAGTGTGGACATGTTGGGCCAAATTGTCAGCATCCATGCTGTAGGGACTCAATTTTTACAAATCTGTACGCAATATTCCAAGTGTGGCCTAACTAAAGTTCTATAAAGCTGCAGTGTAACTTGCCTATCCTTACACTTAATACCCCAGTGTATCAAATATTAATCAGGCAACATTTAGGGGACAGCGATCATTCTATCGTATGTTTTAGATTCACCGTGGAAAAGGATAAAGAACAACACAGAGTAAGAGTCATTAACTAGGTAAAAAACTAATCCCAATCTCGGCCAAATAAACTGGAATGAAAAGCTTGCAGTACCTGAGCAATGGGCTTCATTCAGGTATTTTTGGGCACAGTTAAGGTGCATTCTCTCAAAGAGGAAAGGGAGGGTAAACAAATGCATCATTCCCTGGATGACAAAAGAGATATAGCTTGACATAAAGAAGGTGAGATGTGCTCTTGGTAAGTGACAGGTGAGTAATATAATGGAGAACCAAACTGAGCACAGAAGGTTGAGAGAAAGTGAAAAGCATATGAAAGAAGCAGAACATGAGTGTGCAAATATAAACTGATGGCCAATCTAAAAGGGAATGCCAACATCTTTTATAGCATATAAACAGTAAACAGGTCATAAAGGAAGAGTAAGTTCATTTAGGGGCCCAGAAGGTGAGGTATTAGATCAATATTTTTACATCTTGTGTGTTAAATCATCCCCTGACCCCCAATGCGAGTTCATTATAGACTAGAAAGATGCTGTTACTCAGCCCACAGTGTGGAGGCGGGAATTAATACAGTAGAAAGATTTAAAATTGATCTCAAGGCTGAGATTTTTAATCGTGAAGGGAAACAAGGAAAATGGGGAAAAGTGGGGCCGGCGATTTTCAGATCAGGCGTGATATTATTGAACAGCAAAGCAGACTCAATGGGCTGAATGGCCTACCTCTGCCTTTATGGTCTTTTGATCAGGAGGAAGCTTGCCTTGTCTTAACCTGAATGCCGCCAAGGCATCGTGATGACATGAGACGCCAGCTCAACTGAAGCCTTCGAAAGAGGTGGGGGGGTGTACTGTCGTGGGAAAGGGTAAGGGGGGTGTGGGCATTTATGGTCAGGGTAATGGCAGTAAGCAAGTTGCTCATTCAGAGAGCTGGTGCAAGGGGCACCTTTAAGCCGAATGGCCTCTATGTGGGCCATAGCAATTTCCTGCCGCTGTGATAAGAATGGAATGCCAAGAATGTTTAACCAGCTAAACTCAGTTCTTTCGTGAATTGGTGGAGGAATGGGTGGGTGTATGTGATTTAGTTACACACCACTCACAAGGCTTTGAAGAACTGTACTGGCTTTGGACAAAGTGCGCCACAGAATATTGCAAAGGTTCCAGGAGTTTAAATAAACATGGAATGCTTGCAGCTGAGCGGCTGTGTTTTGCGTTGCCTTCCAAAAAGGTCGAGAGATTTTACAAACAAAAATATGGGAACGCATTGGCACTCAATGTGCTGAATTCCCGTACTATATCAACTTCCTGCTGCTTACTTTCGACCACAAATTGAACACGCAGCTAAGGCTGTGAATTCTGAGTTAAGTCAACGCCCGACTCCCCAAAGCCAGTTCATTTTCCACAAGGCACATGTCAGGAATGTGAAGGAATAGCCACGCCCCCAACCCAGCCTAGAGTGGCTAAACGCTGCTAAAGAATCTTAACACCATCCAGTGTACATCAGCCCACTAGCTTGATGTGCCACCCAGCAACTGAAGTGGACTGCTCTAGTGACAATGTATGCGTATAAAGATATGTTTTATGAATAAAGTATATGTTTGAAATTTTTTTTAAAAATTAACTGTCACCAACACCAACACACAGTGACAGCTGTGTGCATCTCTACGCCAGATGCATTTCAGAAAATTTAACCAGCGCTCTGCTGACTACACCTTTCAAATCCACATGCACTCTGCCACCTAGTAAGACAAGGGCAGCAGGCACACACCACATGCAAATGCCCCTCCAAGTCACGCATCACCCTGACCTTTAATTATATCAGTGGCACCTTCAATGCAGCCGGGTCCAAACGCCAGAGCTCCCTCCCTATGAGTGTACCCACAGCAGCAGTTCAAGAAAGATGACTCACTAGCGCCTTCCCATGGACAGTTAAGAGATGGGCACGTGCATTGGCTTTGCCAGCTTGTTATCTCACAGCAGAATAACAAAGAGGCAACTGGAACCTGTGTTTGTCAAGGAGTGCCGAAAGCTGTTTGTACAATCCAGACCATGTTTGACTAATATTATTAATTTTCTTTTATAGGAACAGGAGTTAGCCCCTTGGTCCTATTCCACTTGTCAAAGAGATCATGGCTGATATGTGGCTTAACTCCATGCCTTTTAATAACTTTGCTTAAAGAAAAGAAAAACGGAACTCAGATTTCAAGTTAATTAATGCCACACCCAATGCTGCACGGTGGCTCAGTGGTTAGCACTGGTGCCTCACAGCGCCAGGGACCCCGGTTTGATTCCATCCTTGGGCAACTGTCTGTGTGGAGTTTGCACATTCTCCCCGTGTCTGTGTGGGTTTCCTCCTACAATCCAAAGATGTGCAGTTTATCCCTGCTAAATTGCCTAGAGTGTGTAGGGTAGATAGATTAGCTGTGGGAAATGCAGGTTTATTGAGTAGGGGGAAACGGGCCTGGGTGGGCTGCTTTTTTCCGAGGAATTGGTGTGGACTGAACAGGCCTGCTTCCACACTGTAGGAATTCTGTGATTTCAACCGAGCTAGACTGAACTCAAACATCAACTTGGCCTCCTTCCAAGCAGTAAGGGTTCTATGAACTAGGTGTCAGGTTACAGGAGGATGTAACTGGGATTGGTCAGTTGGGCAGATCATTGGCAGGTGGAATTTAACTCTGATAAACGTGAGGTGATACACTTTCGAAGAAGAGAGTACTGAATGAATGACAAGATGCTACGAAGCTCAGAGGAATTTTAGGATGCTTATCCTTGAAGGTGGTAGGACAGGTTAATAGGGTAACTACAAAGGCGTACAGGACACAACTTAAACAGTCGTGGCATTGATTTTAAGAGCAGGGAGGTTGTGTTGGAGCTGTACAGAACTTTGTTTAGGCCTCAGCTGGAGTACTGTATGCAATTTCTGGTCACCAATGTATAGGAAGGATGTGATTAGACAGGAGATTCACCAAGATATTGCCTGAGATGGGGCAGTTTAGCGATGAGGAGGGGCTGGATAACCTCAGGTTGTTTCCTTTGGAGCAGAGAAGGTTGAGGGGGGATCCATGTACAGGAGTACAGGATTATGACAGACGTGGTCAAAGTGGATAAGTAGCATCTGATTTAGTCAAATCAAGGGGGCATCATTTTAAAGTGTAAGGCAAGTGGTTTAGAGGGGAGACGCAGGAATTTTGTTTTTAATCTCGTGTCATTCTAGATTTTAATATGCAGGGTTCCCCAGGTGGTTATGGCAACGTCTTCACGAGTGCTACATTTTCAATGACGTCAGAATGTGTGGAGTTTGAGGAAGAGGGTAAAGACGAAGATATAAAGAAGGGGATGCTTAGGTGGAAAAATGCAGGTGGAAAGGGAGCTAGAGAGGGAAAGTAAAAGGGAAAAGATGCAAACAGAAATAAAAAGCATGGAAGAGATAAAAAAAAAGGTGAAGAACGTTCATCATAAAGATCGACAGCATGAAGAAACGTCCCTTCAGCCCATTGAATCTACACCAGTCAAAGGTCAACACAATATGATTCTAATCCCATATTCCAGCACTTGGCTCACAACCTTGCAAGGCTCAGCATGAATGAATTAATGATTTAATTCTTAGTTAGTTAGTTAATTAATTTTTAAAAAAGTACTTCCCATGAATGAATAAATAAGGGGAGATGATAGCGTAGTGGTTTTATCGCTGGACTGTTAACCTGTAGGCCCAGCTAATGTTCTGGGGGAACACAGGTTCAAATCCCATCATGGTGGAATTTGAATTCAATTTTCAGAAGTTCTGGAATTAACAGTCTAATAATGACCATGAGTCGATTGTCAAAAAAGCCCATCTGGTTCTCCAATGTCCTATAGGGAAGGAAACTGCCATCCTGACCTGGTCTACCCTACATGTGACTCCAGATCCACAGCAATGTGGTTGATTCTTAACTGCCCTCTGGGCAATTAGGGATGGGCAATAAATTCTGCCTGGTCAGTGACGCCCTCCAGAATGAATAAAGCAAAATAAAAGCTTCTGATTTGATCAAATGGTGTAGCAGGCCTCAAACAGGCAAATGGCTCCCTCCATTTCCTATCCCCTCGGGATTTTGCTCAAAAGGGGTAGATTTCAATTTTAATGGTGCACAGTTTGAATCAAACTGTAACAACGACGCCCTTCAGCCCATAAAGTCTGTACTACCAAAGAGTTCGCCACATGCAAGGATTGTAAAATGGGTAGATGAATGCCAGTGCACTCCAGTGGCACAAGGAAGACGTTTTGGTGGATTCAAATGAAAATCAAACATGCTAATCTGATTCTGGTGCTTCCTATCGTTACAATTTCAGATTCTTCACCATGGGCGATCCAACAGTAATGACAGCTGAAGCTGGCTTCACTCTGACCCAGCAGGACTGGTCCCTGGGATGGACATCATACACGTCGCCTCCAACCAATTCCACAGGCAGTGCCAACCTCACCAACAACACAAATGTGTGCCAGGTCAACGCCGACTTCCAGTACCTCCTGTTTCCCGTGGTGTACAGCCTGGTGTTTGCCTTTGGCACTGTGTCCAACCTGTGTGTCCTCTGGTACCTCTTCAGGAAGAAGGGCTCATTCTCACCGTCTGACGTCTTCATGATCAACTTGGCCGCCATCGACCTCATCTTCGCTGCCCTGCTCCCGTTCAAAGTGGTCTACCACGCCCTGAAGAACGACTGGATCTTCGGCGAGGTAGCATGCAAAATCACCGGCTCCCTCTTCTTCGCCAACATGTATGGCAGCACACTCTTCCTCACCTGCATCTGCGTGGACCGCTACATCGCCGTCGTCCATCCCATCCGATCGCTCCAGCTCCGCAAAACGCGCTACCGCGTGATCACATGCTGCCTCATCTGGCTGCTTCTGGCCTGTGTCCTGCTCTGCCTGACTATTGGAGGACCTCTGACCAGTAAGTTCCCCAACGGCAAGACGGCCTGCCTGGAGAACTTCAACGCCAAGTCCTGGAACAGACGCATCTCGGGGATCAGCATCGTGGCCGCGGTCATCGGTTTCTTCATCCCATTGGTCATTATCATCGTCTGCTACCCTCTGATCGCCAAGAAGCTTCTGGAACACAACGCGGGCAAGGACACAGTGCACATGGTGAAGAGGAGAGCCCTCCGCACGGTGCTGCTGGTGCTGGTGGTCTTCCTCATTTGCTTCGTGCCCTACCACCTCATCCAGTTGATCCACACCCTCCGACGGATCCGGGTGCTCTCCAGCTGCCGCCTCATCCAGTTCACCTACTCGGCGCGACGGGTCACCATGGCACTGACCAGCCTCAACAGCTGCCTGGACCCCGTCGTCTACTCGTTCATGAGCAATACCTTCAACTGGAGGAGGCTGTGCTGTCAAGGAGATCGGCTCACAATCAGCTTTCCCACCAAAGACACATCAGGGAGAAGATCAACACGTTTAGCCGCTCTCTGAGATCCCGGGACTTCCTTATCCTTTCCCAGTCTTTGCTTGAACTGTCACAGATTAATGGTTGAGGGTGGGAGTGCTTGGTGAAGTCGGGTTGGGGGTGGGTGAGCTCTGAGCAAGGAATCTGTCAACATTGACACCTCCATCGAAGACACACATGCTATCTATCCTCCTCACACAAAGCTGTCGCTGACCTGCCCTTTCTCTTAGACACAATTTCTCCTAGAAATACCTTCTCCTTTCTCATAGACTAACACAGACAAAGCTTATCTCACACTCACAGTTTACATTCTCCCCCTCATGGAAGTGCACTCAATGTTTCTTCACCCGCTCACCTACCTACTGTTGAAATTTGAGCATTGTCTACATCTCTCAGCAGATGTTGCCAGACCTGCTGAGTTTCTCCAGCGATTTCTGTTTGAGTGTGTTACTGTTCGATCGATAGACCTAATTTGCTTCAGTAAAGGCAAACCTACTGTGCATGCTGGAAATCTGAAACAAACACAGACAATACTGGGGGTATTCAGCAAGTCTGGCAGCATCAGTGGAAGGAGAAACAGACTTAATGTTTGGAGGCTGGTGTGAACTAACTGGCCCGCACTTGGCTGGAAGGCTGGTTTGCAATACAGAACAATGCGTGAAGCGTGGGCTCTATTCCTGCACCAGCTGAGGTACCATGAAGGACTGTCCTTCCAACCTCTCCCCTTGCCTGAGGCATAGTGACCCTCAGATTAAACCACCACCAGTTACCAGTCTGGGACCCTAGCACCTCATGTATGAGTGCGTGTGTGCGTGTGTGCGTGTTTGTGTGTATTTGTGTGTGTGTTTGTGTGTTTTTGTGTGCGTGCGTGTGTGTTTGTGTGTGT